TTGTTGCTAGTTATACAATAGAATCATGTCACATAATATATAGTTTTATTATATGCCAAGCATTTGTTTTGATGAATCGCGCAATTTGATTGGCTGCTGATGAGGCCGGATTTTCCCGTATTGCCCACGGGCAATACGCGATTTTTAATATTGCCCTGCGACGAGAGCCGAGTTTCAAACGGCAAAAAGTGTCTAAAAGTCTTTCAAAACTATTCAAAACGAAGAAAAATAAAGCTAAAATGAAAAAGGAGCAACTGCTGTGGTTAAAGAACTTTCTCCATACGTTTTTGTTAGCGAAAGTCAAAATTACAAAGTAAATTTTACAATGTTCATAACTATAAAAGCAGTCAAGAATAGTTGTGTTTTGAGTATGTGAAGAGCTGCAAATTTTATTTGCAGATAGCCAGGAGGAATTTGACACCGTCCTAAATAAAAAATACAACTAAAGCAGCCACAGATTTATAATTTTTCCCTGAAAATTTCTGTTTTTGTTAGATAATTTCTGTTTTTGTTGGTGTGTGAAGTCAGTCAGCCACGTCGGAGGTGTATTTTCGAGCTCCGCAGTTTTTATATATTTAAGTGAGCCTGACGCTGGTATTTCACTATGGATCATAATAACTATAAGCACTTCAGTATAGAGGACTCAAAACTTAAGTGGAACGGTGACCTTGAACCGCTTAAGTGTTTTATCGCGAACGAATTTAACCTATCTGGAAAATGGTCTTCCCCTGGCGGCGAGGTGAAGCTGTTTACGAACGAGAATGAAGTTTCCAGTGAGGGTGAGATTGTCAAAATTAAATGGTACCAGAGTAAGAAAACCTTGTTGTTTGAAGGATCTAGAGCTAAGCATATGGAACAGGATATCTACAGTATAAAACAATCAAACTCAAGCTTCAAGGAGGGAGAAACGTGCAACAGGTTTGATACTTCAAATTCAAATTTGCATAATAACGATAAATTTGTTGAAGCGATTAATGACTTCAAGCTTCAAATTCAACAGCTTAAGGGTGTTATGGAACAAAACAAAACTGCCATAGCTAACCTTGAAACCGTATGTCAATCCTCATCGAATGATACTGCATATATTGAACTACACACACTTAGAAAAGAATACGAACTTATTTGCTCTGAAAATGCAATTCTTAAGAAAGAAAACGCCGAATACCTTGAACGCATGAACAACTTAGTCTATATTACCTCTGATTTAAATACAAAAATTAAAATATTTGAAGAGGAGAAGGCTAGCTTAGTAACCTCAGTGCGTCTCGTAAATGAGGACAAACGGCAATTAATAATTGAAGCTAAGCGCTTAGGAAATGTTTACGAACCGGAACCGTCCTCTGAAGTCTCAAACCAAACAACGCATTGCGAAAGCACACAAAATGAAAACCCCATCGGTAATAAAGGTCAAAATATGCGAACGATTGATAAATTGCATACTACGAACAATGGGATTATTCCAATCAAGGTGAACAATGGGGGTGAGTGCAATGTAAACGAGGGCGAGACTAATGACCCTGTTATCCTGGTAAACCCATTAAACCTCATTGAAACTGATAATGACAATCTAAAGCATAAGCATGGTAATAATCCCATTGTGTCAGCAGAAGTTGCAACCTCTATTAAATACGATAATAAACAAGTAAGAAACAACAATCAAGCCACTTTTGCGGAGGTAGTGACATCTAGCCCTGCATTTAATACCTGCAACACACTTGAAAAATCTCCTACCAATAAATCCCAAAACAATTCTCTGCAAATAATCAATGATCCATCTAGTGACTCTGCTGACGGGTTTATTGGTGTTGACCGGAGACGTAACAGAGTTAAGAAATTCCTGTTAAGCTGGAATGCGGGATAGCTGAAAACGTAAAAGAATGTCAAATTGTTTCCTATCTGAAACAACGGAATATAACACCTACATATATTTCCGTTTTTCCAAGCAAAAGAAAAGGTACGACATCGGCTAAAATCCATTTTCGTTCGGCCGATTGTTCGTTAGTGCAACAACAAAATTTCTGGCCTCAGTTTGTCAACTGCAAGATTTGGCAATCAAAAGGAGAAATTAGATCTAATATTACCCATAACGGGAAGTTCTCAACTTATGTATAATGGAGCAAATAGAAGTCAGAGTTTCGTCACGTAATTTTGGTTGCCGTGTAAGGCAAAGAAGGCGTAGAGAAACGCGAGGTGTCAATTATAACAATCTAACCCGTATTAGATGTACAAATAATTATAATGAAAAAAAAACAAAAAACAAAATAAAGCTATACTCCCGAGAATTTGCTGCTTGAACGCACGCTCAATTAATGGAAAGGTTGATGAACTTGCGGCATTTATGTCCGTCAACAAAGTTCATATAGCCGCAATTACGGAGTCTTGGTTGACTGATGAGATAGAGGACGATCAAATATCGATTGGTGGTTATGTAATTCATCGTAAGGACCGGACACATGGCCGTGGGGTTTGCGTTTATGTGTCTCAGCAGATATCCATTACGCGATACTTGGAATTAGAAGATTTAAATCTAGAGTGTATGTGGTTGTGGGCTCGACCACCACGCCTACCGAGACCGCTATCTGCAATCGCATTATGTGTAGTGTATAATCCACCGGACAAAAGTGTGCAAGAACAGAGGGAACTTTGCGATTACCTTGTGTCCTCTATTGATACTATACGCTCTAAATACCCTGATTGTGGCATAGTCGTTTTAGGCGATTTTAATCGTCTCAATATACAGGATTTAGTTACAAGTCACAACCTTAAGCAAGTCGTCACGCGTCCGACTAGACAAGATTCAATCTTAGACTATATTATTACGAACTTGAAATCCTTTTACAAAACACCGGATATTTCTGCTCCACTTGGAACATCGGACCATAACGTAATCATGTGGATCCCAAAAGACATTTTTAAGGATGATAATAATACGTGTACAAAGCGCACTGTGCGTCGGTATCCTCAGTCAGGTTTGAATGGTTTTGGTTTATGGTCAACCAGGAATAAATGGTTTAGTGGACTCGGACTCAATCCATCGTCGGATGAGTTAGCGTCATCTTTTACCAATGATCTGAACACTGCATTCGATCATTTTTTCCAGTGAACACAATCAAATTTCATCCCACGGACAAACCATGGATTACTGGGCACATAAAGCAACTTATTAAAGAACGCCAACGTGCTTTCCACACTGGCGACGCGCAATTGTGGCGCCATTACAGACGGAAGGTCCAGATAGAGATTAAAACCAGGAAAAATAATTTCTATACCCAAAAAATCCATAACTTGCGAAAAGACGATGTCCGTCAATGGTGGCACACTATTAACACAATGTCAGGTAGAGCGAAAAGTCAACCTCAGTTTAAAATTGAGCGTGACGGACAGTTATTATCGGAAGGTGAACTGGCAGAGTCTCTAAATGATTATTTCGTAAGTGTAGCAAGTGATATCCCACCACTTGATATTTCAAGCCTTCCAACATTCTTACCAGCAGCGGTGCCGCCTCCTACAATTCATCCTCATGAGGTTTGTAGTAAGCTCTTAAAACTTCAGACTAATAAGGCTATGGGCCCGGACAGTACCGGGTGGCCCAAAAAAAAGTACTCCTGTTTGATTCGTAATAACATCTAAACAAGTATAGCTTTTAAAGAGAAATAACTTGCATCAAATAGAGGAAGGACCAACTTAGACTTTGATATATTACAGTTGTATTTCACTTAAAAATTCACGGAGATATTAATCTTTAAATTCGGGAGGATATTTCTGGATGTGTCTGAAATATGCAAAATCGGCGTATCAAATATTAATCAAGATTTGCCCGACTGAAACATGCACTATTACCAGTAAATAAATGACACTTGACAAATTGTTTATTATGAAACAAAGTATTATTATATCTACAAAATACAAGCAAGATTCATTCGTCCGAAATTCGCGTGTGTTCCTAGCACGAATACGTTTCCTTATTTCATGAGACCACTGCATCGTGAAGGATCGTCATTGGATCGTTCGTAGTTCTGAATTAGGGCATGCTGTCACAACGGAATTGTGAAGCTCTTCTAACTTCTGCAACGTTCTGAAATCTTGTTAAGAACACCCAAACTCTCTTGCCGTTTCTTAATCTTGGCAAGTTCATGGAGTAAACTGAGAATTATATGAAACACAATCAAACCATACAACTCCATAAGACATAACAATTAAGCAACTCCCCAGAGACATGCAACATTTTTGGAACAAAACGTAACAACATAGTAGCGTTGATACGGTGATGTGTATTTGCAAAAAGCAATATTATTTCCTTCAATAAAGAATATTCATCCTGCTCTAACCGAGAAATAATCTACTCAGTCTGTTTGAACCCATTAAAAACATAAAAAAATTAGGCTATTTAATAATACGAAAAATTTAAGCGCCTGCCTTCCATGGTCAGTCTTTCATGTACATTTAAGTTTGCAAAGACCTAATATTAAATACTTGCATAATTTCGAACGTTCATATTTCAGGGAACAATGAGCTAAGACTTACATGTAAGATGTCTAAATCTACGCCATATCCCTTACAAACCTTAACGATAATTCGCTGAAATACAAGTTAGCCTAATATGTCATTAAGCAAACAAACGCTGGAGTTAATATTTGATATGCCGATTTTCGCTAATTTTAGACACATTCAAAAATATGCTCCCCATTTTTAACATTAATATATCCGTGAATTTTTAAGTTAAATACAACTGTAATATATCAAAATCTAAGTTAGTCCTTCCTCTATTTAATGCAAGTTATTTCTCTTTAAAAACTTTACTTGTTTAGAAGTTATTACGAATCAAACAGGAGTACTTTTTTTTGGGCCACCCGGTATTCCATCACGAATTTTAAAAGAGTTCGCCTACGAACTTGCTGAGCCAGTTACATCAATATTTAATACATCTTTGTCCTCTGGACTAGTACCTGTTTTATGGAAAGATTCTACCATCATACCCATTCCTAAAGCGAAACAAACCCAGGTTGAGAGCGGTACCCGCCCCATCGCACTTACCCCTGTGTTATCGAAAGTACTCGAAGACTTTGTGGTTAGTTGGATGGTTGAGGACATAGGTGGACAAATCGATAATCGTCAGTATGGCAGCCGGAAGGGAACATCTACCACCCTTTGCCTTCTAGATCTTATCCACAACTGGCTTTCTAAAATGGACAACCCAGGTCATTACCTTAGAGCTTGCTTTCTGGACTTTAGCAAAGCTTTCGATAGAATAGACCACAATATTGTTATAACAAAATTGATCGATTTGGGAGTGCGCCGTTCAATAATCCCTTGGATTTGTAGCTTCCTTTCAAATCGCCGCCAGTATGTTAAGCTGGGACAGTGCGTGTCCCGATGGCTTTCAACTAGTGCTGGGGTCCCACAGGGTACCAAATTGGGTCCAATCCTTTTTGTCATAATGATTAATGATTTGAAAATAGTATCCCCGCGTTCCAGTAATTGGAAGTACGTAGACGACGTGACGATATCTGAGATTGTTCCAACAAGGGAGGTATCTATACTACAAAACGAATTGGACGAAATTGGTAATTGGACAAGTACCAATAATATGAAATTGAACCCCAAAAAGTGTAAAGAGATGATTGTCTCCTTTCGACGAGATATTGAGCAGCCACCACACACCTTAGTTGTTGAAACCATTAGTCTTGAAAGAATAGAATCCCACAAAGTATTAGGTTTAACGATCCAGAATAATCTGAAGTGGGATTTGCATATCAGTGAGATAGTAACCAAAGCATCAAAAAGACTACACATCTTACGAGTTCTCAAGCGCAATGGAGTTTCACCGTTTCATTTACTACGAGTACATTTTGCACTTATTAGATCCCTGCTTGAGTACTGCTGTCCGGTATGGCATTTATCATTGACCATTAACTTGTCAGATAAAATTGAACGGGTCCAGAAGCGCACAATGCGAATAATCTACCCCACATTAAGCTATGACGCTGCTCTGGACCAAGCTAAATGTTCGACATTACGCGCAAGACGTGATGGTTTGTGCATAAAAACTTTTGACAAAATCAGACAGCCTGATTCACGCCTTAATCATTTAATACCACCTTCTCGGGCCAATGGACACAATTGTAATTTAAGGTACGGAAATAGATTAACACTGTTTCCTTGTAAGACGGAGCGCTTTAAGAAAAGCTTTTTTCCTACTATGTGTTTTCAATCACATAACTTATAAATTTTGTAAATTTTGTAAATTTAAAAGTTCTTTCGATATTAATTCATAGATCAGTAAACTATTGTTGTAATATAATGCCAGTAACACAAGGTACTTTTTAATACTTTTAACTAAAGTTTGTAAATAATTTCGCAATTCGCTTTCATCGAGCGCGACGATTTTTATAATAAACCATTAATAATAAATATGAGATGAAGCGAACTAATAACGTACTTGTTTTTGTAATTTTATTGTTTTCATATTTGTTGTCTTTGATTAAATGACGAAATATACCTCGTATTTTTCTTGAAATACTATCCAAACTGTGTTAGTATTCTATATATAAAGTACTGTATAGAGTAGCATTTTTTACAATTGTTTTTTTTGCATATTTTTTCGGACTTTGTACTTTGCCCTCGCGTGACCTTTCCATTTTTTACAAATGTACAATGCCATATAATAAAAAACTTACTGACCTCAACCGTTCGGGCAGTACGGGAAAATATCCAACCTCGGTCTTGCTGTATTGACCTCGCTATCGCTCGGTCAATACAGCAAGACCTCGGTTGGATATTTTCCCGTACTGCCCTCACTCTCGGTCAGTAAGTTATTACTTATTAGTACTCCACTTAGTAGGGCTTTGTCCATAATAGGCAATACAATAATACACATCTACAGTGAAGCAAAATTGTTGAACTTTAATTTCATCAACTCTTATTTGCAGTCACACAGCACCAAATTCAAAAGGGTGGGGTACATGTCCAGTCTTTTTGCAATATTTTTGCATGATAATAACATAAGTGTTAGAAAATGAAAATTGCTGCAGTAGTACGTCAGATAATGACCATGTGTTACTTCACCACAGAGAATCATTCACCCGTTCCGCACGTTGTAACCAATAATTTATTGGCGTTGTAATGCCATTGTATGCAATAAAGTATTGGGTTGTAACTGAAGACAAAACCGCAAGCATTACACAAAAGTTTTAGTTATAAATGTAATTGGCTTGGCTTGGCGGATGATGGGCAGGCGGTAGGATATTTCCCCGGAGGGGTAGCCGGCCGGCTTCAGGGTTAGGGATTAGGGGTTAGGGATTATGGGTAAGGGTTTGGATTAGGATTAACGTTTGGATTAATTGTAGACCCATTGTAACCCAATACTTTATTGCATACAATGGCATTACAACGCCAATAAATTATTGGTTACAACGTGCGGAACGGCCGAATCATTACAGTCAGTGATTTTCATAACCCTAACTCCTTCAAACGATGGGGAATGTCCCTTAGGACCGTTGTGTGAAGTTTTATGGCGTTTTGATGCCAATCGACGCAGCCTTAGGGTTTACACTACGATACGACTGAAGTGGAAGTGAAAATTGAACAAGTGAAAGTTGGCCGCGGTATTCCCATGATATGCATACGAAGTATTGTACATTATATCAACATATACTCGAGAATAGTTATCCAGCTAAACATGTATGTCAAAATTATCACATCTTCTGGTTTTAAATCAACAATTTTGACGGATTTTGTGCAAGGACAGCTTCGGGTTCCGTTTCGCTTTGGCCGATGCTTGAAATTTCCCGGAAATACACTTATTTACCGGAAGTTGTCGTCTCCTCCGCAGGTTCTTCGACTACGCGCGCGACTCGACACAAAATGAATAGGAGCCGAATTTATGACCTCGGTGTCGTACCGACCCGAGGTAATTACTTTATGGTTTCCATGTTTGGATGGCCTGATCCAAACACGCGGGAATGTTGCAAGAGTTAAGAAAAGCGCGCGAAACGACCTGTGAAACGAGCTGTGTTTAAAACCAGCTTGAATATTAAACAACAATTAAAATATAAATATTCTGCATGGTACGAATTTAGTAAGCTTGATATACAGAAATTTTTGTTTAAAGAGAAATTGGTGGGGTATTCTGCTTTAAACTCCCGATATTTTAAAGTTTGTTTGTCTTGTATTGTGTAAAGGGTCGCTGTAATTGGCGGAAGCTGTAGCGTATACCCAGCCATGTCAATGTATGTATCGTTTATGTTAATGTATGTATAGCAAGTGATTTTAAGTTGATTTGGCAAAGTCTAATAAATAAATAAATAAATAAACACGAGCCGAAGGCGGGTGATTTTACGAGCCGAAGGCGAGTGATTTTGCGCGCTTTTCTTAACTCGAGCATCATTCCCAAGTGTTTGGATCAGGCCATCCAAACACGGAAACCATAAAGTAATTGTTTTATAAAATAACAACTTTCCGTGTTAAACTTTTACTTTAAAAAACTTTCACTTTAAATTTCCGTGTTTGGATGGCCTGATCCAAACACGGGTTTGGACCAGTCAGAGCACGCGTTACATACATCATCATCAATCAATTTTATTTAAAATGCGCTAGCCTCGCACAACTGAAAGCTGGTTTACAGGAGGGGCGTGATATATAAAACAGTAAAATATATAGAATAATATACAAAGAAAAATAAACTAAGTAAAGTAAGTAAAGAGAGTTAACTATAATTAAGTCAACATGGTTCTAAAATTGACTGAGCAAAGTCGCTCTTTTTGCATCTAATGGAAGATTATTCCACAGCATTGATGCACTATATTTAAAACTTCGCTTCAAAAAATTAGTTTTTGGTTTTGGAAGTGCTATATAGATCCGTTTCCTGATTTCGTAAATTATGGCCTCTATTAAGTTCTCTAAGTCTTACGAGGTTTTCTCTTAAACATGGCGAACAATTTTCATTAAGGATTTTATACATTAGGATACTCTTCAACTTAGCCCGCCTATAACATGTAGATTATCCCATCCCAAACCTTCCAAAAGATTACTTGATCTAATCCTATCATATCTTGCTCCAGTGATAACTCTAGCCGCACGATTTTGTAGTATTTGCAATTTATCTTTTAAGCCCCGTTTACACTACGCTCAATTTTTGGTACGGTACGGATAAAATTGGTACCCGTACCACTTTTCTGGTTCTTGGACTACCTATTTAGTCCAAGAACCAAAAGGTGGTACGGCACCAAAAATTAAGCGTAGTGTAAACGGGGCTTAGCTAAATAGGTAGTTAAAGAACCAAAAAAGTGGTACGGGTACCAATTTTATCCGTGCCGTACCAAAAATTGAGCGTAGTGTAAACGGGGCTTTAAAGAATCAAAATATGGTTGAATTAATGATGAAACAAGAGAGGTCTGCGGAACGAATGGTTTAATTCTCCTCAATGCTCCTATGCCTGAACAGATCTTCTTGCATATTTCTTCAATATTGATATCAAAAGTCAACCTGTCATCAAGATCAATTCCCAAACATTTATTCGAGACATCAGATGAAATTACGTTATTGTTCATGATAATGCTGTTGTACAATTCACCAACTTTGTTGGTCAAATTTTGTTTGGATCCTTTGATTTGGATACATGTTATTTTATAATTATCCTTGCATTTACCAAAGCAATATCGCGGTTGTCGCTGCATTATTCGTTTGATACTTCAATTGGACGTCACTTTAATTTGTCAGCTTCTTGACATGTATTTCTTGTTTTTATATTTATTTGGTTAAATATTTCAACTTGAATGAGAAATTTATTTTATTAAAGAATTCATCGGATCACACTGGATTGGAATTCATTATCAAAACTCGGATTCGGATTAGACAATTTCGGATCGGATTGGATTTTAAACATTTGGCAATTGTCGGATTATAAACGTCTAATCCGATCCGATGCACACCTCTACTTTGCAGAAGTTTGCAGAGACATGTAGACTCAATAAGTAATCTTCTGTTTTAGGTCGGCGAGCGTACAAACCGTATTCTCGATATACTCAAACACACGTAAAAGGTAAGCATTGTTTATTAAATTATGAAATCAGGTCTGTTGATGTCCCTGATGTACTTTTTAATGTAAGACGTGCGTGCATGCACAAATATATTTTTATATTTTATAAATAATGACAACTCTCCCAATTTGAAACAAATGTTTATATAAATCTGTTACTTCCAATGCCGAAAAGATAATTTCTCAAAGAAAATTCAAAGTTATGAGCTTTCGGCTGATGTCAGATAGGCTCCGTACGTCGACCTTTGTATTTAGTACATTAAATTAATAATTACTTATTTGTTATAGCAGTTATATATGTGTTTTGTATAATTGTCAATGATTTTTTTTGTGTATATATATATATATATATATATATATATATATATATATATATATATATATATATATATATATATATATATATATATATATATATATATATATCAGCAAATTCGGCATGGCTTTGGTGAGTGGCCATGTGGGTGTTCAGGAATTGTTGTGGCTGGTTGGGTTTGAATATACCATCGGGCTGATAGCTCAGTTGGTAGAGCGATGGGCTTGTAACCCAGAGGTCGCCGGTTCGAATCCGAATTAGTCCCAACTTTTCCTGTTCACTAAAAAATACTTTCCTACGGTGATTAACATATATAAAAATTATAAATGCCATATCGTGATGATTAACATATATATATATATATATATATATATATATATATATATATATATATA